TACCACATCTAACAAGTCTACTACATCTAACAAGTCTACTACATCTAACGCAAGTCTACCACATCTAACGCAAGTCTACTACATCTAACACAAGTCTACCACATCTAACAAGTCTACTACATCTAACAAGTCTACTACATCTAACGCAAGTCTACTACATCTAACACAAGTCTACCACGTCTAACAAGTCTACTACATCTAACAAGTCTACTACATCTAACACAAGTCTACCACATCTAACAAGTCTACTACATCTAACAAGTCTACTACATCTAACAAGTCTACTACATCGAACGCAAGTGTACTACATCTAACACAAGTATACTACAGCGAACTCAAGTCATCTAACGTAAGTCTACCACATCTAACAAGTCTACTACATCTAACGCAAGTCTACTACATCTAACGCAAGTCATCTAATGCAAGTCTATCACATCTAATGCAAGTCTACCACATCGAACGCAAGTCTACTCCATCTAACGCAAGCCTACTACATCTAATGCAAACCTACTACATCAAACACAAGTCATCTAACGTAAGTCTACCACATCTAACACAAATCTACCACATCGAACACAAGTCTACTACATCTAACGCAAGTCATCTAATGCAAGTCTATCACATCTAATGCAAGTCTATCACATCTAATGCAAGTCTACCACATCTAATGCAAGTCTACCACATCGAACGCAAGTCCATCACATCGAACGCAAATCTACTCCATCTAACGCAAGCCTACTACATCTAACGCAAACCATCGAACGCAAGCCTACTACATCAAACACAAGTCATCTAACGCAAGTCTACTACATCGAACGCAAGTCTACTACAGCGAACTCAAGTCATCTAACGCAAGTCTACTACATCTAACACAAGTCATCTAACGCAAGTCTACTACATCGAACGCAAGTCTACTACAGCGAACTCAAGTCATCTAACGCAAGTCTACTACATCTAACACAAGTCATCTAACGCAAGTCTACTACATCGAACGCAAGTCTACTACAGCGAACTCAAGTCATCTAACGCAAGTCTACCACATCGAACACAAGTCTACTACATCTAACGCAAGTCCAACACATCTAAAGCAAGTCATCTAATGCAAGTCTACCACATCTAATGCAAGTCTACCACATCGAACACAAGTCTACTACA